CAGTGCTCCATTCAGTACGTGCCCTCTTTAACACCCATCATCAGGCTAACCCATTTCCCCACCCCCCTCCCCTCTAGAACCCTCAGTTTGTTTCTCAGAGTCCATAGTCTCTCATGGTTCGTCTCCCCCTCCAATATCCCCCATTCATTTTTCCCTTCCTGCTATCTTCTTTTTTTTTTTTTTAACATATAATGTATTATTTGTTTCAGAGGTACAGGTCTGTGATTCTGTGAATTGTGTAAGACTGTTGAAACAGCATCCTTTTCTAAGCACACATCCTCACCATTATTTTCAGATTCCCTGTCCCAGCCTCCTTCTGTGGATTCTCTCCTCTTTGGTACTGTGTAAGGAAGCCCCCTACCTACAAGGGCCCAGTGGTGCCACCACTCTCTTGCCCTCTTCTTGCTAGACTTGAGGTATATAGCTCCAGACCTCAGCTACATTTTCTTCTCCAGCCCTGACCCAGGTGCCCCCCATCCAGGCCTTATCCTTGGACCCTCCCTGGAAAGGCTCCTCCAGCTCCCTCATGATGTCTGCATCAGAAGGCATCACCTCCTCTAACATCCCTAGTTCTCACCTGCCTTATGCTGGTTTTCTTTTCTACCTCTGCTGTCCTTCTGGCCCTTCAAGAACTACAGTGAATACACCAAGTTCACATGAATCATGCAATTAATAGGATATTAATTTCTATTGATTTTCTGACATTTTTTTGTTGATGTGCCCACTTTTCCATGTCACTTTTGTTCCCTTGCCCTTATTTCCACCCCAAATACAAAAGTGCCTCCCAATGCCTTTATCTTAGCACTGTGACCTCTTCACATAGGACTCACCAGGGGATGGATGAACTAGCCTGTTGCCCAGACCCATCTCAAGCCTGGGTCCTAAAGAGCTATGTCAGTGAACATCACAGCTGGGCTGTGGGTACTGGAGGTGGGATCCTCAGGGGTCCCCCTACAACCTTCTCACTATAGTGCTGAAGGACTGTTCTAAGTTATGAGTATTATTTCTTTGTGAAATTGTGGAAGGATGTTATGAATCGATCGTTTGATTAGGATTAGTTTGGGGGTTTAATTCATTTTCAGATTGTGAGCAGTTTGGAGTAAATAATCTGTGTTCCCTTCCAGCTAAAATTTCCCATAGTCCTATCTTCATAAAACCTATATATACAGAGATTCCAAAAATATATCCAGTAATGAATCTCACCTTCATTTACCATTGCCTTTCAATCCCATCAAACAAAAATTCCTTAAAAAGAACCTTATTAAAGTCAGTACTCATTCCTCTGGATATTTTAGATAAGTAATTTAGTCCCTTCTCACTGGAGGAATAGAAGACCAAGCCTTCTGGGGTTTGATCATGTATGCTTTCTCTCTGAACCTTCCTGGATGATTGTGATGTTTGCTTAGAAGGAAAATACCATCCATCATTGTTCTATGCTCCCAACAGATTGTAAACTACCAGGGTCAGGTGCAAACCAAAGCTAGGGAAACTTTTTGTGCTTTATATGTCCTGCATTTTGCAAATTCCTCTAAATATATGGAGATGCTTGTTGTTGAGACAGTCAAGACCCCAAGGACTCCTTGTTTACTAAAAGCTCCTTAGATATTTTCTGCAACACTCCAAAATCCATCCACCTCATGGCTAGCATCTTGTTGCTTCTCCCTTGGAGGCACCACCAACTATTTCTACTTGCCATGTTCATGGCACAGTCACTGAGTAGTGCAGTGATGTTAAAATGCAGATCTGTTGCCTTGCTAATAACTTTAGAGTATGAGATCTCAGAATGTCATTTCATGAAATGGCTCATCTATTTCTTATGGGTTATTGCTTTTTAACCCAGATGATCTTGGGAGAAAAATCGGTTTCATTTATATTCTAAACTCATGGAAAGGGCTGCAAAACTTGCTGATTCAGGAGTCTGATTTATTTTATAAAATTAACATAACCACTAGAATCAAACCCATTCCCTTCCCAAGTATGGCAGCTAAAGTGACCTAATTATGATGGGGGAGCACAAGAAAGCTTCTCATTCTCCAGTCCTCTATTTTGTTTTGATGCTTTTTATTACATGCATGAAGCACAGCCATCTGGTTAGTCCTTTCCCTTTACTCCAGGACTGGCCCTAGTGCACCACCATCACTGGCTTTTATTTAACAGTAGATCTCTTGCTGAGTTTTTATATTGTGGTAAAGTACACATAACATAAAATTTATCATCCCAACAATTTTTTAGTGTACAGTTCAGTGGCATTAAGTACATTCACATTATAATGTAACTCACCACCATCCCAGTAATTTTTTTTTTATCTTTTGTATCCAGGAAACAATGTAACTGTATCCAGGAAACAAAGTAACTTCTTATTTCCTCCCTCTCCCAGTCCCTGATAACCACTATTATACTTTCTGTCTCTATGCATTAGATGACTCTAGATACCTCATATAAGTGGAATCATGCAGTATTTGTTTTGTGACTGGCCTACTTCACTCAACATGATGTCCTCTGGTTTCATCCCTGTTGTAGCATGTATCAGAATTTCTGTCCTTTTTAAGGATGAATGGTATTCCATTGTATGGAAATAACACATTTTAGATATTGTATTTTAATTTCCCTTCCTGTGCTTTCTGGGGACACCTTCCCATTAAGCACTTGTACCCTAGTCCTTAGCTTAGGATCTGCTTTAACGGGAGTCCAAATCAGGCATATTTAGACTTTTTTTCCCTTTGAGGCATTTAGATCTCAACCTTATATAGAAAAATAATAAAGACATGCTGCATCTGAAAGCATTCTTCTGAAAGAGCAGAAACAAGGATGTTTAGAGATAACCCAGGAAAACAAAAATTAATATAAAGGTGTGCAGATTCCAGGTAAGTACAGGGGGAGATTCCATAGACTCAGCCAGGAGAAACAAGACCAGGAGAAGCCAGGCAAATGGGTCAGGGTCTTTGGTGGGCTGACTTCTGAGATAAGGTCCATTCCCAGGACAAGTTCCCACAGAGCCAAAAATCACTTAGGATGTTATCAGGGACCAAGTATCTGGTCAAAGGCAATGGCTTCCAAGTATTTGGCAGATGGAAGAGGGGAGCAGCCTGCTTCCAGTGGTGAGTGAGAAAGGAATTTGTAATGTTATCCCCTCTTATCTGGACCCTTGGTGAATGAGGACTTGGTCCTGGTCTGCGATGGCTATGGTTAGTTGGGACAGGGCCAAGGTGGCAGAGCCAGTGCAAACATTTCCAAGTCCCCCTCACGTTATTCCTTTTAGTGGATTCCATATTTGGGTCTATAAATGTCAGCACTTGATTGTGTGGTGTCTGTGTTTCCCTTTTCCTTCTCTGAGGCTTTCTGTGTAGCAGTCAACAGTCTACCAACCATCTGCCCATCCCTTGACAAAGCAGCAGAGCTGCCACCAGGAAGAAAGTTCTTGCCCAGCAGTTCCACATTCATCCTTGACTTTGGCCTGCAGTTCTTCAGAGTTTTCCACTAAACATTGCCAGTTTATTCTGGTTCTTTCCTTAGTTAAGTTATGAATTCTGTTTTTATCACAACTCCATCTATTAAGCCTGCCCTCCCCAAGATGGGAGACTGAAGATGGGAGAGTGAAGGGACTGGGCAATATGGAGCCCTTCTGTGGTATTCTTTATAAGCTCAATGTGCAATAACATAGGTGAAAGTGCTCAGTGTATTAGCAGTGTGGTGGCAGAGGTGAAGTTCATCTTGGATGACCAGAAGACAGGTGGACACGGGGTTAGAGGCAGCCCCTGGGGGCTGATTTTGTAACTCTGGGCCATCCTTCAGACAGGGTGCTTATCAGACATTCCCTTCCTGCTCTTTTCCCACTTTGACACTGAATGGGAAGGGAGTAGCCAAAGAATAAATTTTTTTAGTAGATGTTTTCAAAGTCCTGCTTTTACTCCCTGGCATTCACTGCTCTCATACCTTCCCCTGGAGTTCTGCTCTATGTACCTGCAATTCCCCTTGAGAGCTTGCTCTCCAAGCTTGCATGGGACAGTCAGGAGTTACCAGCACTCAGTGTCCCAGGAGCAGCCTTAGCCAAGATGGATGCGGGCAGGGATGGAAAATAAAATGTCCTTTCTCTCACCCTTTTAGGCGAGTCTGGGACAAGTGCCACTTCATCTCCTAGAGGTCCCCAGTTGCACATGAGTTGCCCATTGCAGTGCTCACTAACTGGCTCCATTTTTTTTTTTATCTACATCACGTTTGCATGTGTCATTTGGGTCCTTAGGAAGCAGATGTTGAGAGTTAAGAGTACCAGCAGTTTCTTGGAGGTAATGCCTGTGCAAGGGAACAAGGGGAAGGAAGCAGACAGGAGCAGGGGAAGGACTCTGACATGCAGATCTGACACCAGTGAAAGGAAAGGGGTGTCAGGATCAGGCAGGGAGACCCTTGGCTGTGGTGCATTCTGAGGCAGTGTCTGTCAACCTGTGATATTCCCCCTGGAGGAGGCCCATATTGGGTGGCCCTGAGGGGCCCCCAGAAGCCTGCTGTGTGAAGTCATTGGCTGCCAGGGCTGCCTGGGAAACATGTGCTGGAGCTCCCAAGCAGAGGCAGATCCTGCTGGGTGGGCTGCAGCTGGAGGCTTTGGGGAATCTGTCCTCCTTACTGAAGAGGGGAAAGTTCTTGAAGGGGTCCCAGGGGACAGCTCCATGCTTCACACTACTTCCCCCTCATGCTCCCTTCCATCACCACTCAAACCAACTACTTGCTCTCATATCCTTTTCTCAAGGTCTGGGGAATAAGTCTAAAACAACCTTTATTTATTTATTTTTTTAGATTTTATTTATTTATTTGTCAGAGAGAGAGAGAGCACAAGCAGGGAGAGCAGCAGGCAGAGGGAGAAGCATGCTCCCCGCTGAGCAAGGAGCCCGATGTAGGACTTGATCTCAGGACCCTGCAATCATAATCTGAGCCAAAGGCAGACAATTAACCAACTGAGCCACCCACGTGTCCCTAAAACAAACTTTATTTTATTTTTTTTATATGAGCAATCATCTGATTTATAAAAAGATGCAACAATATTTAAAATGATACAAAATATCAATTTCAAAACATCAAAAAGTGAGTGTTTTTAACCATAGTCAGCTCATAACAGAGCAAATGGGTAAGAAGAATAATTCATGCTACAGCATACTGCTAATACGAACAGGCAACAGAAAAAGTTGGTAAAGGAAGGCAGAGGAACTCTATCTTTTAAGAATTAGAACTGAGGGGCTCCATAATCATCTGGCATCCGCTCAATGTTGTACCTATGGTTAGAAATGTACATGATGGGAACTCCAGGGATCTTCCGGATCCTTCGTTTAAGGTCCCGGTCAACTGTGGCCACAATGTAACACTTGTGCTGAGTTACTCTCTGTACTAAGCAGTCATCTGCATAGGTTCCTTTGTGTGTGCATGGTAATCGTTCAAATCTTGGATCCTTGGCAATCCTTAGAGCCATTCGATACTTTTGCCCCAGTTTCTCAATTTCAGCCATTACACAGTCAGTTATACAAGGGATACACTTGGCATACAGACAGTCCATCATTGACTGTACTAAGTCAAGTTTTGCTTTAATGGAAAAGTTGATAAAGTTGGTATCAACCAGGATGTGGTAAGGTGGGCCCAGCTGTGTGTTATATTGGAAGAATAAGCAGGAAGGATGTTGGGGGACTTCTCTTTCCTTGAGTGCACTGGGATCTTTCT